TCCGTCAAAATAGAAGTACCATTGACCATCTGGTACGTTTAGAATCTTTTGTCAAAAATGCAGTTGTAAATAATTAGCATGCAGTATCAATCTTTTTTTTTTTTAGAAGAAGCGTATGATACCCCATGGAAGTATGGTATTTTAACAGATCTGCATGATTTGGGGTTAAGAGGTCGTTTACCTTAATTTAAATCCCAGTTTTTAACCTACCGACAATTTCAGGTTCGTGTGGGTTCTACCCTGTCTGATCATTATAACCAGGGTGTCCCACAAGGCAGTATTTTGTCTGTTACTCTGTTTAGTTTAAAGATTGATAGTCTGTCAAAAGTTTTAAATGATTCAATTGATGGTTCCCTTTTTGCTGACGATTTTAATATTTCATGTCATGGCATAAATATGCATACCATCGAAAGACAGTTGCAGCTATGTCTCAACAAAATCGAAAAAAGGTGTCTTGAAAATGGTTTTAAGACCAATTGTATTATTTTTTGTAGGAAATACAAGCACCATAAAGATCCAGAGTTATTTCTACATGGCACTCCTATCAAGGTTGTAGAAGAGGCCAAGTTCCTGGGTCTCATTTTCGATCATCATTTAACTTATAAGCCGCATATTAATTATCTTAAAACTAAATGCCTGAAGGCTCTAGATTTGTTGAAAGTTGTTGCCAGTACTAAGTGGGGAGGTGATCAGACAACCCTCTCCACTTGTATAGGTCTCTGATCTGCTCTAATTTAGATTATGGCTCCATCGTTTATGGTGGAGCCTGTAAGAGCAATTTACAGAAATTAGATTCAATTCACCATCAGGGCCTACGACTTTGTCCAGGCGCATTTCGAACATCTCCCGTGGAAAGCCTATACGTTGAAGCTGATGAACCCACTTTGAAGCAACGTCGTATCAAATTATCAAGTAATGCTCCGAGCCTGGATACATCTGGATCCATCTGATCGTGGCGGAAGCTGATCCCATATAGTTCGTTAATTCTATTCGCCAGTCTTCGGTTGAGCTTTTTACGAGAAAGTTCAAGTTTTCTAATGTTGACGGCCACGCGAACGATCACACCAGCCTGGTGTTCGACAGACAAAGCTTCGTTTACAGCAAATCGCAGATAATGTCGTCATACAACAGCTGGCGGACGTTTGGCATATATCGTTTGAACAAAGATAAATAACGAGCAATATTGGAGTCGTGTCACCCGCAGAAGACAAGTTTATGAAGTGAAAATCGGAAGTGGCGCCATCGCCTCCCGCCTCTGACTTGCCATCGTGTGGGCCCAAGCAGATGCTGACTTTCCTACAGACATCCCTTGATTTGTCCATATAGCTTTCCCCCATTACCCAGGCCACATCTGTCACATACAAATTAGACGGCAGAAAGAGCGCTATAACATCTTAATTAAAAGAAACAGAGATGGTAAATATTAACTAGACTAAGTTCATTTTTTGTGGGGATTAAGTAGAACCTAATATAGTCTTGGTATGCGCGGGATGACCATCTACCATAATGCATACTGGTATGTCGTCTCGCATTCAATCTATTTCACCATATTAAATCATCGTGATATCTGAAGCTTGGCTGAATTCCCGTGTTGTTTATTTTGCCAATACAAGCAAAAACACCGATTCATGTGCATTAAAAACGATCAGCAAGGAGGGGAGTACAATTGGTGCTCATGTTGATGCCTTTGGTAGAGATGTCTTACGAGTATGGTTATAAAAAATGGTTTCATGTCTTTTATTTATGTTGAAATAAGCTAAGCCCCCGGGTCTTCTGTTGAAAATCATGTCCTTGCAAGCAACTTTACATGTCATCAGTTGAAGCTATTTTGATACAAAATGCATTGTGGAAATGGATACAATATTCAAGGAAACTGCTTCGCGCTCTTGTACAAGGGAAATTAAAAACAAAAACATTCTTCATGAATATCTTAATGGCACAACGCTTTTGGAGTGACATTTGCAGACTGGATAAAGTCGCGTCGACCGAATAAGTCGTTGCTCATTCAATCTAACACTGGATTTCTGGTCCTCGTCGATTAATCCTTGCTTTTGCATACATATAATGGCAGTCGAGGCGCAATAGGTTATGGAACCTAGGAAATCATATACATTCAGTACTCGTATATCAAGACATGACTTTGTATCGATTACATATGAATAATAGTATCCTAAGACAAAAGGTATATTTGCTTCTTTTAAGACAAGCACAAACAAGTCACCCAGCCTGACCACCCGATCCATTATATAATAACGAGAAACTGTACAATATGACGTGTATCTCTACACACTCATTCGCGCTTTGACAGATATGTATTAAAATGTAACTGATCCTAACCTCGACAGATATGAATCATTGGGTGACTGATCCAAATATCGTCGGTTGTTTCGCCTTTAAGCTTTGAGACGAATTCACTCAGAACAGATAATCCGAAAATTCTCGTAGCTCGTGACTGTTCGCGTGGTAAAAATGACCACATCTTGCAAAGGTTGAAGAATAGTTCCTCTGAAAACACACCATGGTGATAAACACGAGACCAATATCAGGTGTAGGTCATAAACGTCAACTTGTAATTCAGATGTAATCACGTTCTCGAAATATCTGACATGTACAAATAATAGATAAATGTTATATGCACAATTCTTTCCTACCGAGTTCTTCACATTGGACATGACTCGGGCTGCAGACGTCATGCCACATTTTATGTACGCTAGCCAATTCATAAAGCGGTCGTCACGCCGACGACCCGGGTTCGATTCCCCACGTTTCCCTGTGTGAACTCATCCGTAATGCCCCATCTTGTGATACATGTACTTCTTAAATATCGATAAAGCGACATAAAGCTCACTGAACATGAACAAACAGGTGTCATTTCTAAACAATCACAGACACATAACGACTCTAAGGGTTATTATCTGAACTATTATCTGATTATCGTTTGGTTTGAATGGATGCAGTATATGGAATTACTTGACTTCTATATAAAACAGGAAGGCGTATCATACAGACAATAGCACTATCAAGTTAGAGGGTACATGAACTCCACGAAGACAATTCTGGACCAATTGTTACGAGTGGATCCAATAAACAGTTTCCATACATAACAAGGAGAGACCACACAATTTAAAAACAATTTAATACTGGCAGTCTAATCAAGCTTCATATTATTCACAAACAGCAATTGCAAATTTTATTCATCACAATAAAAACAGTCTTACTTTATGCTGTGATATACCTTCATTTCCCCAAAAGATCCATTGAATGTTTCACATAATCCAATATTATCCATAGTTCACGCATTGCCGACATGGCATACACAGTTAAAGGTTGGAATCTCGTCCACATGGCACGTCAGTTTACACCATAATCCCGACCTGGGAACTGACCACTTTGTCTTCACCCAGTTTGAAGAGAAATAGCCAAGCTACAATTGCGTACCATCGGCCTTTACTTGGCTGTCAGCTTACCATGGCTTACATATAGACAATGTGAAGGTGTGTCATTGCTGAGTGTTTGTCACTGGCAATCTCTACACAAGGAACATGATATATAAAAAGATTTGAATATAAATTTCATGAAAACTCAGTATATTTAATATATTCTTCATGAAAAGTAAATATTTATATAAACATGGCAGCAAAAGAGAGTATAGGTCGAGTTCCATGATCGATAAAAAATAACAAGAAGAGGTTCTGTTGTGAATTATAATATAATCTAGGGAGGGGTAACAAATGATTGATCAACCACAGTTTGAATGAAATTGTGCAATCACAGGTAATGTAAGCTCAAGGTAAACAATGGTGGGGTAAGAAATTTCATTTTCAAAAGTTGTCTGAAATGTCACCAAAACATTTTCAGACACACTACAAGTTCATTGTCGACACAGTTTCATTCAATAGCGAGTATGACCTCCAGCCGCCTCAATGCATGCTGTGATACGCCGCCTCATCGATGACGTCAATCTTCTGATGACGTGGACTGGAATCCGTTGACACTCGTCTCTCAGGGCCTGCTCTAATCTGTCTGTCAAGATGGTCCCAGAGATGTTCAATAGGATTCATATCGGGTGAGTGGGCAAGCCAGGGCAAAACGTCAATGTCTGCTGGTTTAGAAAGTTCCGAGTCAGTCTTGCAGTATGGGGCCTGGCATTGTCGTTTTGAAACAATGTCCCCTGCTGTTGGTTTTGTAAGAACGGAAGCACAACTGGCTGCAACACTTGGTCTCTGTACTGTACAGCGTTCAGGTTTCCCTGTATAATCACCAAATCAGTCTTCTGATTTCCACAAATACCGCCCCACACCATAGCACCTCCCCCGCCGAATGGATGGACCTCTCGTATACACGCGAGCCAAACGTTCCCCTCTGGGTCGATAAACTCGTTCTCTGCCGTCATTTCGAAACAAGTTAAACCGACTTTCATCAGTAAACAACACTCGACGCCAATTTCTCACTTGCCAGCATCGAACCTGCCTAGCCCATCGCAGTCTCAGGCGTCGATATTGAGCAGTCAGTACCATTCCTCGGAAAGGACGATACGCTCGGATTCGAGCGGCACGAAGTCTTCGTAGTACTGTACGTTGGCTAATTGGATGTCCCAACGCTGTTGCTGCCGTCGCCGTCGCCGTTACGAATCTGTTTCGCAGGTGAATGAGCCGTATCTGACCGCTTTCCAGTGGTGTTGTCACTCGGGGTCGTCCGGTGTCCTCCCTGTCTGCGTGTACCGATGAATCAGCCTTGCTACTGTCAATGGTGTACAACCAAACCTTCTGGCAATTTGGACCTGTGTTGCCCCCATTTCGGCCATACCGAAGGCTCTCTCTCTCTCTCTGCTCCTGTGACAGTCGTGGCATTTCTTTTGTGTGGCATTTAATCACGTGTGGTTATACCCTGCAGACGAACGCATTTATACAGCTAACATGCACGTGCAGTTTATGCCATAGGCGGGAAACCTGTTTCACCATTTATTTGTAACGGCACGAGCGCCGTCAAAGTTAGCGCGTTCGGGTGAGGTGGTTTTTTTGTGGTACCTGTTCCTGCGCAGTCATATTCCCAATACCCACTTTCCACTAGTTATCGCTGTTTTTAGGAAAATTACAAATTGCCAACCTATACATTCTTTTGACGCTTAGTTTATAATGGATTCTCATAACACAATAAAAACTGTGCACCTCTGTCGGTCCATTATCATCACGACACCAAGGTCCATTTAGGCCCTCGTCCTTTTAAACCGGATCTTCTCAATTGGGTAATCTGTTTCATAACCTTCTGTACCTTTGACGGCAGGTCAGCTTCGAATCTTAATAGTGACTCGTCATTGGCGGAACCCGGAGGAAAACAGTCATTCTCTCTGTGCTCGCAGATACGGATATGATGAATTACCCCATCGTCTGGAGAAACTCGCGGCCTGAAACAATAGATAGCAGAAGAGTGTGTGTGTGAATGTTGAAAATAAAGGCCATTTAAAAAGAAAATATGTATGACGTCACCAGCTTAATGCATGAGGAAAGTGACACAAGATGAAATCAAGGACATGTGCTGACATTCAAAGATGGCAGAGACGGGTATTCAAAACTACTATCATCGGATCCTGGCATGACTAAGGGATGCTACTTTGCACAGCGGAGAGGCATTAGACAGTTGTATATGTGCACCAATGAAAGCAATACATACATATAGTACAGATACAGCTGGTAACATACAGACAGGTCATCTGTGAACATGCAGGTTCTGATCGACACAATTCAATTATGTGTTTTCTAGTTCGAGGCCTTTTGGGATTTTGAGATGAACATTTCACTTGACCCCATGCTTGGCGTAACGGGAGACAAGCATGGGAATGTCTGGTTGAGATGGCTGACCTGGCTGATCATCGAGTATAATTGTACCCTTGAAACAAGCTTTCTTACTGATGCTATTAACCATCGAAGGGGGCACGGGTGGCCCAGTCGTCTAATGCTCCGCGATTTTCTGTTCCGAGTTGCGTCCCTTGGGCACGCCAGAAACCTATGATTGTAGGTTCGAACCCAGGTTCGCCTCAATTATTTTTCTAGGTTTGTCAGCACCATACCCGTGCTCGTGGGTTTCACCGAAGTGGTAAACGTATGAGACCTGCAACACTTCGGGCTTTCCTCCCACGTTAAGCTGACACGCCGCGATATACCTGGAATACTGTTAAAAGCGGCGTTAAACCCAACTCACTCACTACATAAACCATCGGTTTGTCTGGTTGTCGATTATGTAAAGGCTTCTATAATATAGACATGACGTTGGTAGCTACGTTGTACAACTTTCACGTTAAGCCACCCACGATAGCCACATATGAAATTAACACGCAATTGTATTTAAATAATAGTATCCAACAAATGACACAAAAACTATCTTACGCATTACAACCTTTTCCATGAAAGCCTCACTGACTTTTAACTGATAGTCCCTTTAAATAAAACTTTTATCATGAACAGTTTGTGTTTTATCAATTAAGGTGACTGCTGACCGCAGCACTATCTATCTATATCCAGCTTAATCCCTACCAGGTGAGATGTTAAGTGATACAATTATCATGTAATATCAAATATGAAACTGTATCACAACTTACACTGTGAAAGGGCGTCTTGGGTCCACGAGGTGAGTGATTGGCGAATCCACTCTATGAGGAATGTAGATGTATTTGTAAGCCTTCCATTGTGGTGGAGTAGATCTGGAATATTCGAAGTGTTCGATGCCAGAAGAATGGTTCCTGGTTTTACCGAAGCTGGTGTAGTGGAACATCATGTAGAAGTGAAAGCCAGCAGCAAGAGTGTGCTTAGCAACAAGATCCTGTAAAACAATATACACTTCATATGTATCTGATAACGATACAACTTGCAAGCAGCAGATTTGTATTAATTGTTTCAGGGACTTTCACAAATGCAGAATATTGTTTCAGTATTTGCATCTGATAAAAATACAGACCAATATAAGATGGTATGTAATCCTTTAATTTCTCAATCTCATTGTTTTATTATAATTTTCTTATTTAATTTCTCCTGACTGAAATACTATTTCGCGTCGAAATAGTAACACGTTTTTTACAATGTATTTATCTATCTATTTGTTTTCGATTACCAACCCTATGATAATAGCAAAACATCGGTAAACCAAATAAGTACAAAAACATAATTATTCAAATTATGTGCTACATTATAAAGACTTGAAACTTTTCTGTGAATTATTTGTTCTTCAGTATTTATGCTAAATGTGAGAGAAAGAAGACAGAATTACCTACTTGGCCTAAAATGAAATAGAAAACGTAGGTTACTTTAGCGGTGAACAAAATACAAGAAATAGAAATTGAGCAAGTCACATTTCCTTACCTTAATAAAAGCCTTTAAGGACATGTTTTTCCTGGGAAGTACAATCTCATCTACATCGATACCCATGACCCATCTGTAACCGGATAGTCTCTCTCTGCAGTCAAGCAGGGGGAAGTTGTCATCATTTTCAAACTGGTCATCGTGGTCATGGCGGTGTTTATACAAATCCCGGAAGGAAGCACCTGCAATCAAAGCCAAAGACTGAGGTCCTGCAGAATTTGCGTGGGTCCCCAATAAATGTTTCGTACCACCTTTCAGAGAACTATTTTCTAAGTTTTGAAGCACTTACTGATAAATATTCTGTCTCAAGCAAAAATACGTACCCCAATAATTTTATATAACCTGTATCTACAGGCGATATTTCAGTATCGAATGACAAATCCTAGTGATTTCTTGTCACCAGACGTTGGGCACAAGTTTCAAGTTTCGATCTCCTAGTATGCACATCCAGTCCATCTGGGTATTTAGCTTTCCATAAATTTTTAAGGCATTATTTTGATTGAGCTGTAAAGTGTACTTGATCCTATTCTTTAACCACTAAGTCATTCTCATGGACAGGGACGGGGCAAGTCTGCAATGAAACAATATTATACCAGGCATGTTGACTGACAACATGAGCAATGATTTACGCCATCGGAGTAGGATGACATGCAATCTGCCGTTGTGTCTGAACACCCGATCCAGTTAAGTCGCCTCCTACGACCTGTAATTTGATTGTGGTGGAATTGAAAGTCTGGTCCTTGATCTAAGAATCAAACATACAGTGCGACTACATGGTTGATCTGTGTGTCGTGCATGTAGCTGTTTCTAGCTGTTATATACAGTCACCTGGAAAACGCGTTAAGCACACCTTACTACATATTTCTAAACTGAATGGCAAAAGAATGCATATACCTTCGTTTGATGGTGGCTTATTTGAAACAAACAAGAATTGGTCATTCGATAGTGTATTTCATACGGGTATCATATTTGTGTTTTGGATCTTAACTTCGGCGACTGTTTTCAGCCTAGTAACGTTTTGATAACGCTTGTAATAGTTTGGCCAAATGTAATGTTCAAGTGAATACTTTCTTTTTCCCAGGCAGTTTATATGCAATAGTTATTTCTTAAAATTGCACCCTTTGTTAAATTTCTGACAAAACATATTTGTCTGTTTACAAAGTGACATCCTCATATTGAAATCGATTGTCAAATGCCATCTCTTGAAACTGTTCAGAAGGTATTAGTAGTATATTAGACGTATATGCCATATACGTAGGTCATTCCTAGATAAACGCGAAACTTCGGGATTTATCAAATATAATGAAGGGGTTGAGCTCATAATTTATTTCAGGCATATACTATTACAGGTTAATTATGATTATGATTAATTACAACAACAACATTTACACGAATCCGATAAAGCATAACGGAATACCTTTAATTCTCCCTGGCAACTCAAAAGGCTGTACTTCAAGAAATCCTTGTTTTATGTAATGTTGGAAAACAATCCGAATACTGTCTGGGTTGTCCAAATCAAATATTAGAATTTTATCAACTCCCAGCAGCTTTTGAATCTCTATCCCTTCGACCAGACGCCGCGGTTTGAGTTCCTTCCCAAATAAGGTCTTTCCACATATGGCTAAACCATTCCGCAGTTGAACTGGTTTTTTGACTGGAACGTAATCAAAGACGTCATGGCTGCACGTGGATATCGTCAGAGAGACTTTGACAACGTCGGTATCAATTGGGATTGAACAGCTGTACTTTGTAGGGTGGAAGTGAGCACGGCCGCCATATCTGTATACCTCTATAGCCCACGTCCTTAGTAGTGTTCTGTTTCTTGTCAAAATACAACATTTAAGATATTCATATAAACCATCCATTGTGTTCAGAAGTATATTTAAACGACCCTTCTGGGGTCGATTTTCACTTGCATAAGCTGTCAACAAGAAGTTAGGCAAATACCCAGTCTGTTTGAAGTAGCGCAAGACTTCTTTTGTTTCATCAGACGAGGTGATTTTGTTTCCATGAAGTGACCAGTTCCTGCTTAGCATTTCAACTGAAAGCTGGAAAGAGTTTAATGCAAATGTTAAGATGGAAATGGGCTAGATATGAAATTGGGTGGAAAAGTACAGATAATCGACTACCCGGGAAATACCAAATGTGACCCCTTGGTTATAAAATGGACTTATCCGACATTGGCGAGGTGGGATCGTATTCAGGAAGTCATCATTATCAAAATACGGGTAAATGTTTTTAAAGCGTTTACATTACATTGCCATTAAAAAGAATGTACAAAATGTTGATATAAGAAATAAACGACTCGTGGTCGTTGTTTATCGTACAAAAAGACACTGCCGGGAGAATAAACCACTCGGGGCTGCGCAACTCATGGTTCATTCTCACTGTTTTATTGTACCATAAAATTGACCCACTCATCGTTTATTTGTCAAATATAGTGAGTGGGTGATCATTTGGGTTAACGTCGCTTTGATCAGTATTGCCCCTGTATCAGGGCAGGTCAGACTGGTATGGGAGGATAGAAAACAGACAATTGAACGAAACGCACAGGGACAGATGAAGGTTAGAAGTCTCTGCACTTGTACAAACCAGACGTAATTCAAAATATACATATTTTTTATAGTTTCAACATATCTTTAAATTGGCTATGGTGTCACTGTTTTTTCAGGTCCATCGATTGTCTGCTTTGTCTGTAATTACACGCCGCCGTCGCATGGCAGGAGTACTGTTGCGCTGAGCAACATACACTTACGACTTCATGCAAATTGTGTGAGTGGTTGGTGCTACATGTGGGGCAGGCCATGCTTAAAACTTTTGCCGAACACCTGGTGTCATCACTGTTTTTCAGTGATCCATTCAAATACTTTGTACCGCTCTTTTGCTTTTTACGCCAATGGAATATGTTTCGTTGGGTAAGCGAGACTGGTTATTCTCTGGCGTTGACGTTTTTTTAATATATAAACAAAATAAATGCATCTTCTTCATTTAACACATTAGAGATGCATGAGGTTCCAAACTTACATCTTGTTTTACGGAGGTCCATGAGAGATAGATATAGATCAGGAATAACACAAGTATCGGTATCATGAGCAAATGTCTTTTTTTCAGGTTCCCACCGAAAAGGTGAGACATCTTTTCAATAGTCGACATGATTCGCCCTCTTGAGTACGCCATGTTCAGGAAGCCACTGAGTGTCGTCAGAGGTTGGAACACTGAAAATAATGTAGAATATTGTAGAATGTATTGTTGGGTTTTGTTTTCCGTCAGAGTGGTGTTTTTCAGATTCATTTTTGCTCGTGGAAAGTAGTGGAAGAGTGTAATACTTGATACACAAATAAGCATATTTTATATCCTCATATTGCATAAGCTATGTAAAAATCACTGATCAATATTAACTATAGCAGTCACTCAACCGCGTGGAAACCTGCCGATATTTACAAATGCAAATTGTTCAGATAACGTACATATAAAATGACCCCTCACCGTTGAGAATGGGTCTTCAGCAACCCGTACTTGCCGTGAAAGGCGACTGTGCTTGTCGTAAGAGGCGACTAACGGGATCGGGTGGTCAGGCTGTTGTTGTGATGATGATGTTTAGTCCGTGGTGAGAGGTCAGAGGTCTGTAGTTCATACTTCATGTAATACAGATGAGACCAGCTGAATGCAGGGAAAATTATAGCAATGAATTAGTTCACAAAATATCAATATATATGTATAAATCAATCAAATGATACTTCATTTCTTAATGTGAGGGGACCCGTGAAGATTCCGGGGTAGAATAGGTCTTCAGCAACCCATGCTTGCCGTAAAAGGCGACTATGCTTGTCGTAAATGGCGACTAACGGGATCGGGTGGTCAGGCTCGCTGACTTCGTTGATGCATGTCATCGATCTCAATTGCGTGGATCGATGCTCATGATATCAATCACTGGATTGTCTGGTCTAGACTCGATTATTTACAGACCGCCGTCATATAGCTGTAATATTGCTGAGTGCGGCGTTAAACAGCAAACCAACCAACTTAATGTGAAGGATAGAAGAACATGTTTTGCTAAGTTGTAAATGACCGAGATGCCTTTTGATGTCATTTGCTCTTAAAATGACTTCATTTTTTGGAAGGCTGTATACATAATAGGAACATAGCTTTCTCTTTAAAAACATTACAAAGGGCATTCGCGAAGGACATGGAATGTTCTTCAACATTTAGTTTCCTAGATTTGAAAAGTTTTAACTGTTTAGCTGTGTTTGGCCCTCTACCTTTTTCTATAAGAAGTTATACCAGAAGCTTGATGTGTAGTGATAGTTGATATTACAATGAAATTTAAATAAAGATGTTTCTGTATTCAAGGAAAATTTGTATTGACAATCCAATAATTTATTTGACGAACTACACACATCTCCAGCATCCCAAACCATATTGAAACGAAAGAACAACTTTGAGTCCCGCCGCAGCAGTTTCTTTGTGTCAACGCTGTAATATTGCCCAAAGCGGTTCAAATTCAGACTCACAACTTGAAAAGAGAGACAGAATCTATAGCCAGCGAAAGTCAGTTTTTTAAAAGAATGGACCAAACCCTTATTGGCTGATTTATCCAAAACGTTTACTTAAATTTTCCATCCCACTCACCCGACCACCCAACATGCACCTTCCATCCTACTCAACCGAACACCCAACATGCACCTCCGATCCAGTTCACCCGACCACCACGCATGCACGTTCCATCCCACTCACCCGACCACATTGTATACACCTTCCATCCCAATCACCCGACCACCAAACATGCACACCTTCCATCCCACTCACTCGACCACATTGCATACACCTACCATCCACCTCACTCGACCACCCAGCATACACCTCCCATCTCACTCACCCGACCACCCAGCATACACCTCCAAACCCACTCAACCGACCACCAAACATGCACCCACCATCCTACTCACCCGACCACCCAGCATACACCTACCATCCCACTCACTCGACCACCAAGCATGCAACTTGCATTCACTCACCCGACCACCCAACATGCACCTTCCATCCCACTTACCCGACCACCTTGCATATACCTTCCATCCCACTCAACCGACCACCCAACATGCACCCACCATCCCACTCACCCGACCACCCAGCATACACCTACCAGTCCACTCAACCGACCACATAACCAGCGCCTTCCATTCCACTCACCCGACCACCCAGCATACATCTTCCATCCCACTCAACCGACCACCCAACATGCACCCCCCATCCTGCTCACCCAACATGCACCAACAATCTCACTCACCCGACCACGATGCATTCACCTTCCATCACACTTACCCGACCACCTTGCATACACCTTCCACCCCACTCACCCGATTATCCAACATGCACCCACCATCCCACTCACCTGACCACTTTGCATGCACCTTCCATCCATCTCACCCGACTACCCAACATGCACCTTCCATCCAACTCACCCGACCACCTTGCATGCACCTTCCATCCAACTCACCCGACCACCCAACATGCACCCACAATCCCACTCACCTGACCACCTTGCATGCACCTTCCATCCCACTCACCCGACTACCCAACATGCACCCACCATCCGACTCACCTGACCACCTTGCACGCACCTTCCATCCAACTCACCCGACCACCTTGCATGCACCTTCCATCCAACTCACCCGAATACCCAACATGCACCCACAATCCCACTCATCCGACCACCTTGCATGTACCCACCATCCCACTCACCCGACCACCCAGCATACACCTCCCATCCCACTCACACGACCACCCAGCATACACCTTCCACCCCACTCACCAGACCACCCAGCATACACCTTCCACCCCACTCACCCGACCACCTTCCATACACCTTGTATCCCACTCACCCGACTACCCAGCATGCTCCTTCCATCCCTATTACCCGACAACCTTGCATGCACCTTCCACCCCACTCACCCGACTACAAAACATGCACCCACTCACCCGACCACCTTGCATGCAACTACCTTCCGACTCACCCGACCACGCAACATGCACCTCCCATCCCACTTACCCGACCACCTTGCATACACCTTCCACCCCACTCACCCGACTACCCAACATGCACCTTCCATCCCACTCACCCGACCACTTTGCATGCAACCACTATCCCACTCAGCCGACCACCCAGCATGCACCTTCCAACCCACTCACCCGACCACCCAACATGCACCTTCCATCCCACTCACCGACCGTCCAACATACACCCACCATCCCACTCACCCGACCACCTTGCATACACCTTCCATCCCACTCACCTGATCACCTTGCATACACCTTCCATCCCACTCACCCGACCACCCAACATGCACACCTTCCATCCCACTCACCCGACCACTTTGCATGCTCCTTCCATCCCACTCACCCGACCACCCAACATGCACCCACCATCCCACTCACCCGATCACCTTGCATACACCTTCCATCCCACTCACCCGACCACCCAACATGCACACCTTCCATCCCACTCACCCGACCACTTTGCATGTTCCTTCCATCCCACTCACCCGACCACCCAACATGCACCCACCATCTCACTCACCCGACCACCTTGCATGCACCCACCATCCCACTCGTCCGACCAACCAACATGCACCTACCATCCCACTCACCCGACCACCTTGCATACACCTTCCATCCCACTCACCCGACCACTTTGGATGCTCCTTCCATCCCACTCATCCGACCACCCAACATGCACCCACCATCCCACTCACCCGACCAACTTGCATACACCTTCCATCCCTCTCACCCGACCACCTTGCATGCACCTTCCACCCAACTCACCCGACCACCCAACATGCACCCACCGTCAGTGGAACATTTTCCCAATTATTAAGCTCAATCCCGGAACGTATTCTAGGTGGAAGCGCTTATCCAGTTCACCGGTTCTGTAGACTTCACCAGTCGGTAACATTACACATTGGATGTCGATGTCTGTGTCTAGCGACACATTCTGTGTTTGTTTCAACATGTAGGATAGCTGAGGCTCTGTTCAGAGCACTCTGGAATGCTGTGACGTCATGCTACAATGGTGAGGTTAGGTGAGGTAACATGGGGTTAAACGTCGCGTCCAAGATTATTGCACTTATATAGCGACGTGCATGTGTGTATCTGTGTTTGTGTGGCTACTGTTCTAGTCTGGACTGATGCCGATTTATAGTGCTAGCTCACCGAGATACCATGCCGCAGTTTAACATGAATACCCCACTCAGACACAGTATACTGACTCCGAGCCGACCAGTCTTTGTTTTAGCCTCTAATGCCGAGCGCTAGACAGGGTAACAACAAGTACCATCTTTAAACGTCTTTTGGTATGACGCGGCCGGGGATCGAACCCCGGACCTTCCGCTCTCCGGACGGACGCTCTACCAATAGACCACGGAGGCGGTCCATGCTACAATAAATAAGGTAATATGCTTCCATGATAACTAACCTTCCTGGCTAGCAGAAAGAGGAATAACCAAATAATTCAAACTTGTTAAGTATTGATCATTATTGATCATCCTCAATATCTAATTATTGTGATATCCATTTCGACAAGCAGAATTGCACGGTATTAGTTTCAAATTTGGGATGAGAAAAAGAAATCATACCAACAACACTATTCATACGCAGTGAAATGTCCGCAAGATTTCCGCAAACCAATCCCATTCAGCAATGTTTCAAACCATTGAAATCGCAGCAGACCAACTCACATTCATTTTTCAATAGTAGTTAATACTAGTATACATGTATGTCGTGAAGGTATTATATATTTCAAATGCTGTTCTATATTCACAGATTTTTGGATTTAATAAATATGATGTTTTTAGATAAATGATCATGAGTGAGAGATTGGTTTAACCCCACTTTGAAACTAATTTCAGTTATATCACTGCATGTAGGCTTGACGTGGGAGAAAAACACCCAATTTTGAAGGTCTTACTCGTTTACCACTTTGATGAAAGCTAAGAACACGGGTATTGTGCTGACTAACCTAGAAACATAATCAGGGAGAATCGGAGAATCGAACCCACAATTACAGGTTTTGGGCACAGCCAATTGCGGCGGCTTAGACGACTCGGCCACACGCGCCGCCTTTTGTAAAGATAGGTCGTGAAATCTACAAACATAACTTCCTTGAACCAGGAACAATTCTTGCTTTATACTGAGTTTGATATGCAAACAGTAAGTTTGTGTCATTGTCGCGATTAACGTATGAACTTTGATACATATGAATCATGACATCCACTGGTTTGCTTTGTACTCGCCTATATGGGTGCAGGTCGATGTGGTCTTTGTTATATAGTCCTATAACAACAGTGACTAACCAATTCGATATATTTTACGTGCCGTTAATAACGCAAAAGCCTCATTCAAATGATGTTAATGGACGGGTATATTTTATGAAGGCTTCACAAGATACAATTGTCGTTTGTCGGATACGTGCTATCGTATATTGTCCGCCAACTATCATTTTGGAACCCGGTTTTGCACATTAATTTTCTTTTAAACACACAATAACGTGACGAAAGTTTGTTATTATCTAAAACTAATCAATCCCCGAACTAAAAATAATAGTTTTGTAACATTTCATATTTATGTGAGTGAGTTTGGTTTAACGCCGCTTTTAACAGTACATC